TTTGATTGTCAATTTCATCCTTATCTAGATTCACCACAATGTTAGCATCAATAATCTCTGGTGGGATATAAGAGAGTGCCATACCATTTTCTGAAAATCTATTACCTGCGAACAGATTGACCCATGGTTTTCCCGTTGTGGCTCTGCATGCACCGGTTGTGGTCTGGTAGCCTCCTCCGCTTGTACTGTTCCATTGGTTTTTGGCTCTATCTCTGAAATTTTCCATTGGCCTCTGTATTTTCCACTACTTTGTTCACTGGCGTGCCTTCATAGGATGACGATGCCACATTCATCTGGATTGCACTAAGGTTTGGCCATTTCGCCGGTCCTGTTGTTGTGCTTGAAAATCCCAATTTCTGCAAGCTAGGTTGAAATTGACTACCAATCGGAGTAGTTATTTGTTGTGTATTACCTTTAGCTAATGTATCTGCTATTACAGTTGCGCTTACTGCTTCTCCGACCGTCACGGGTGGGTCTCGTTTTGGCCGGCCTCTCTTTCTCGCCCCGGCTGATTCTCAGACGGTGTACGTCAGCATAACGTGCGTCGAGAGCCTAGAGAGAGAAAGTTTTCAGTGCGACACCATTAGTCTAAGATAAAGTTAGTACATATTATTTACACTACTAATGTGTAAACTATGTGGAAAAAGGAAGCAAAAAAACAGTACGCCCTCCGTACCAATTTATATGGCGGAGTTTGGAGTGTCAGAACCAAAAATTTATATACAGTCAGACCACTCTATAAAAACATCACTATATAACAGTCTTTCACTATAAAAGTCAAGTTTTTCTTAGAATCGATTTTTTAAGTTATATATTACCTCTCTATAATAATTTTTTACCTATAACAACAACAACCATATTTATAGTAGAACACTCTTTGTAAAATTATCCCTCTATAACAACTATATAGAATCTCTAAGATTATTAATAACAATTCTAAAAATATGCAAACAATCTTTTTCATTGAACAAAGTACTTTCTGTCTTGCATAAGACACAAGATTTGAAGATATGCGCATGATATATATTTCATTGGATACCTTTTTGCTGAAAATTTAGACACGAATTTTCGCCAATTCAAGCATTATATTGGTAGTAAGGAAATAAAATCTATGAAACAACTACAATTACAAAGTTCTTCCATTAATATTTAAAGAATTTATTTTTCTAGTAGCTTTAAAATGTGTGCCTTAGAGTTTAAATCTTTGTACGTTCAGTTAGTGAATTTATTAATAATGCATTAGCTTTCTTCAATATATATCTAGTGAAATATGCGTATCTTCTGAGATTTTAACTTTGAAGAATTTTCTTATCTTTTATATGTAACATTAAAAAAAGAAAAATAATTGATTTTTGGATAAGCTTTATATATAACAGCCAAAAAATATTTAAACTTCAAATGCTGTTATAGGTGTATAACATCCATTTGCTATAAAAGCCAAAAAGTCTCGGAACAAACGATGTTGATATAGAGAGGTTTGACTGTAAATGGATTCAGAAAAAGTCTCGAATGAACAGGGTCTACCCCCTTTACTCTACCTAGTTCCGCCCATTTGTGTTAGATTCGGCACGAAGTTTAGAAGACTTTTGAAATTTGTGATATAAAATGAATCATAAATATTTCTAAACAAGAAAAGATAATATTCTTTTTGGGACTAACTGAAAAAGAAAAGAAAGACTGCCACATATATTGGGACAAAAAGAGGGAGAAATTCAAAAATAGTCAGATTTACAAGTGGTCATTCAAAAATAGTCACAGTTTCAAAAGTAATCAAAATTTAGCCACTTTTCATGTAAAGATAAATCTGAACGAAAATACTTTTCAAAATACGGAAAATACTCCAGCATAATATATTGGAGTTCCAGCATAAGTATACTGGAACTCCAGTATATTATAATGGAGTTCCAGCATAAGTATACTGGAACTCCAGCATAAGTATATTGGAACTCCAACATAATATACTGGAGTTCCAGTATAATATGCTGGAAATTCATACACATGTGCTCCAATCTCCAGTATATTATGCTGGAACTTTCCGCTTGTTGGAGTTCCAGTATAATATGCTGGAAGTTCATACACAGGTGCATCGATCTCCAGTATAGCTGGACCAGTCCCTGTTGAAGCAAAATAGTGGTTATTTTTCAATGACTTTGCAAACGCTGGCTATTTTTGAACTACCAGTCCAAAAACTTGCTAGCCCGTGCTATTTTAGTATTGTTTTTGACATTTTCTTTAAAAAAGTCTTGTAAATTATGAGAAATTTTCATAAAGCACTATCTTTTAGTAGTAATTAGCCATCTATAGATACCATTTGTTATATTACGGACTATAGATACCTTTTCTGTGGTTATAAGATGTATTTGATGTATTTAAGCTATTGTATTCATGAATACAGTAGCAAAAATAGGCGTGAATCAGGGAAGTCCAGCTAATCAGTTGTTGTATTCGAGTGTATTCGACTGTATTCATGGAGTGAAACATGTGATTACAGCTGGACATATTATTGTATTCGACTGTATTCACGGCGTGAAATAGGGGATTACACTGTTTTTAAAACGAAAAGTGAATCAATTAACATAATAGACTCCTAATATAACTCAACAAACTCAATTATAATACACAAATTTTGTATTTTCAGTTATAAAAAAGATTCTCAACCGAAAAATACCCCAAAAATATAGCAATCTTCAGAAAAATTATATAATACATCTGAATACATAAATTATATTAATTAAAAAAACATATGAATACATTTATGGCATATAGCGAGACAGTGAATACAATGAAATACATAGAATACAGCGGGATACATTGAAATACAATGAGAAAAAAAACAGTGAATACAATAAAATACATGGAATACAACGAGATACATTGAATTACAATGAAAAAAAGACAACGAATACAATGAAATACATGAAAATACAGCGTGATACGTTGAAAAAATATTAAAATATATTAACAGAAAATCAAGTTGCTCAGCCCCAAAATCCGTCGTCTTTGTTCAAGAACAAACCCTAATTTCCAGCTACTCCTATTGCAGCAGATACAACAATAACGTCAGAAGCAGTAACAACAACAGGAAGTCATGGCTCGTTTCCCTTCTAACAACAACAGGAAGCCATGGCCGCCGTCAACAGAAATTGTGCCTTTGTTAAAGGAAGAGCCGGAGGAAAACGATTTGAAGGATGGGCACACAAAAGTTACGCCAAAAAATTCTTGGAATTGTAAGGGAGACGTAAGGATTTCTTCTGCAATTGTAATTGCAATGGAAGGGTTTAGGGTTTAATCCTTTCTCTGCAAATAACTGGATTAGATTGTTTAGTTTGGTTAATAATTGTTGATAAATTGATCCTTCAGCTAATGACGATGGTGGGTGAAGGAATTGGAGAGCTCTTTATGAGAAATCTGAGGTAAAAGTTGTATCAAAGTAGAGAGAGAAAGAAAATATTGTAACTGGATAGCCTATTTAGTGGCTTAGGAGTAGGAGTTAACCAAAATTAGATATTTTGCTATAAACATTAAAAGGTATCTATAGAATATAATTTTTTTAAATGGTATTTATCTAAAATAAATAAGGTGTTAACCTTTGCTATAGGAGGTAAAAATTCCTAAATTTATCTTAATGGGCTGGTCCTAAGATCAGCACATGTTTCAATGAAAAGCCCTTTTAACTGATTGGGCTGTGTCATTAATGATGGGCTTTAGATTAGAGAAACTTACAAAAATGTCCCAAATAAATCTCAACTTACCAACCTCTAGCCATTAGTCATAGACTTACCAAAACTAGCCAACAAAAATTGAAACACCAAATAATAGGATTCTTTCTATCAAAGAATCACATGCAAAAATTACCTTCCATATTTTTAAGCGTGATTTAACAACATTAGATACAAGATGGAAAGGAAATTTCATGGACGGGGTAGCAAATAAGGTGATGAAATACAAAAATCTATACAATATTCCAAAAATCTAAGCAAAAAAGGAACTTTTTCAATGGGTATAGTTGAAATTCATTGAAAATATATAGATAAGTCAATATACAAAATTTGAGGAAGATTGGAGGTGATTTGGACTGGTTTTGTATCAAAATTCGTAATTAAATCGAGTTCAAAAAAGTCTTCTGCGACACATGTATCAAACATGTATCACGCATGTATCTCACACACAGGTATACATGGATATACATGTGATACACAATTGATACAAATATGATACATATGTGATACACAAATGATACATAGTGCGATACATATATAATTTTTTTTCATGTTCAGCTTTTACTTCGAATTTTCAATTCAAACCACCTTAAAACTTCACCAAATCATCCCAAAACTGAGATTCAAGCTCCTTAAGTTGTGCCCAATCTATTCTAATAACACCCACTCAAAACAAAGCAAAAATTTGATATTTTTTTTGCTTCAAATAGCTAATTGGCTAATTTGGCTAATATTAGTAATATTTTATCAATTGGCCAATTTTTGTAATGAGCTACTTATAAATGGACATAGCTGGTAATTATCCTTTAGATTATCTGCTTCATTTGGCCCGGATTGGATTAAATTTGGATAAGTGTTCTCTTTTAACTTTTAATTTAATTGATCACTTAGTAAATTTTGTTCTTATAACCGGGTACACTTTAACAAACTTAAAAGTATTATACATTAATTAACAATAATTTTAAGAAATTAATTTTCGAGTAAAAGATAATGCTATAACCGAGCTTATAAATTCGATAGGGTCCTAATTTTTAACTTCTATTTTCAGTAAGAAGACTTACTTTACATTTTAAAATGGATAAGTAATATAACCCTTTAGAACATTTACTACAGGATACACATAGAGAGATAAAAATTATGACTCAATTAAGTTAAATTTAGCATATAATATCCAATAATCCTCAATATTTTGTTGAAATTAATTAATTTAATTTTAATAATAAAATTGGTAATTACAAAAATCCAGGTGTCGGAGTAAACCACATTGATATCATCGAATCGAACGAAAGAAACAAAATAATATGACCCTCTCAAGGCAGTCTTCTCCACAATTGTAATTCTGCAGTATCCTAAGAAGAAGATGACAGCTCTTTCAAATTCTTTGGTTTTATCCAAACCTCAAAACCCATCTCTCCATTTCTCCTCCGGTAATCCGTTCCCTCATTTTATTTCTCATTTCTTACTATACTCAAATCGACTGTCTCTTTTGGGATGTTTTTTTGTTTTTCATTTCTTGATCTCATTTGTTTGCTCCATTTTTTTTACTGATTTTCTGTTGCTGACTGAGCTTCTGATATGGCGGACTGTTATATGGATGTGTTTAATTTTCTATGTTTTGTTGTTTTTTCCTTTCTTGATCTGATTGTCTTATCTAGTTTTACTGCACTTTTGTATTGAATTCTTTTTGACTGAGCTTCTAGTATGGTCTTTCGAGCTCCCTATTTTAGCCAAATTGACGGATTGTTATATTGGGGTGTTAAATTTTGAATATTTCATTGCCCTTCTTCTCTGCCCTTCCAGGGTAGGGGTAAGGCTGCGTACATCCTACCTCCCCAGACCCCACTTGTGGGACCACACTGGGTTGTCCTCGTCGTTGTTGTTGTTGTTGTTGTCATTGCCCTTCTTATGCAAGGAATTAGAGCTTGAATGAGATTTCTTGCAATATGCATCTTCCTTGTCTTGGCAAATTCAGTCCCTAGGAAAAATGTTAGTCGATGAAGTAGGTGCATATTCCACTCCTCTTGAGGAAATGGTGTGAATATATTATTTTCAAAAAATAATTGCATTCTCTCCGTGTGTGTGTGTGTGTGTGTGTGTATTTATATCTAGTTAATATGAAATGGTGCACCCTTTGACAAAACCTTGCATCCGCGGATGTGTCCAATATCATTCTAAAAGCCCAGAAGGTTCTCCTGTACAAGGATTTATCACTTCGTTCTCTTCAATCATATATCGTTTTTTTGGAAAGGAAAACTGGTTTTCTAGATAGGTATCTTACTTCAATTTTAAGGACACCATGATTTATTTCCCAGTATTCTCCGAAGAATAGCTTATAGAGATCAATCTATCAAAAAAAGAAAAAAAGAAAAAGAGAAGCTTATATAGAGATTTAATTTACTCTCTTACTTATCTACGGCGGAGTTCGTATGGCCGATAGCTGATGATAAGCTTTATTGAGTCAAAGTACACTCAACTGCCTTAAGCTATGTGAGCTGAGAAATCCCCCTACACACTTTCATCCTACAACCGACCCTTAGTCATTTTAATTGCGTCTTTGGAAAAATCCATCTGCTTGCTTTAACTTTCAGTATGACGATTTAGTAATGTATGGAGAGAATTTTTTTTTATTTTTTTTTATTTTTTGATAAGGGTGTATGGAGAGAATATTTGGAAGATCAAAGTAATTACAGGACATGAGTCCCCAGAATTATCAAGCAACCTATGTTTGCTAGTAATCAGCAGGCATTTCCAATCGTGTTGTACCTTGTGCTGAAAAATCCGGCTAATCTTTATCTTCATAAAATAAAATAAAAACAAATCTGGCTAATCTTTATTGTTAAGCAGTGACCTCAATCATCATAATGCTCTTCCTGGTTGCAACCGGCTTCAGGATTTCTTGAAGTGGAAATGGAAAATCCTCTAATTTCTGTTAACATCCAGTTACCTACGAACTGCCTTGCTCCCATTTACTATTGCAGTTATTATTATTGTTGAATGATAAAATGAGATTTTGTTGGATGTGATTGCATGGAAGATATGCCTTCTGCTAAATATAAATAGCTTCTACCTAATTCAATGTGATAGTTCTATTCCTAATCTAATAGATGTATCTCAATTAGATGACATTTTGCTAGGTTATCAAAAACTATATATTGAGAAAGGGGTCATGTTAATGTCAAAGTTCACCTGGTATTCTCCCAAATAAAAAGGGAATCAAAGTTCAGCTGGTATAATTCATGCTTGTCTTCCATTATTTTCATCATAGCAGTTGAAGGAAATTTTTGTGATACAATGCATTGAGATTTTACATTTTTTTAGTATTCTTCTTGGGGAAAGCATGATGCTAATATTTCTCACAATTGTGATTTGGCTTATAAATATTTAAATAACATGAGCAAATCATTTGTTGCATTGATAATGCCGTCTTTCTAAACCTATAACAGTGTTGTGGTGTAAAGCCTCTAACTTTATTAATGTGTTAATTAGGTTCTTGCTTGAAGTCACTAGACCAAAATGTCAGTGCCACCAAGTTGTCCTTCGGTCCAAGGCATGGAGGAAAATCATATTCTTCTAAAAGATCATTGACCATTCAAGCATCATATAGGTATTACCTTCTTGTATTCAATATGCAGGTTATGCATGAACTCTCTAATTAGAGTCAGTTTCTGCAAAACAAAACAGCAGATCTAGAACTATTATATAGGGGCAGAAGCAACTTGGTTCTTGACTCGAAGCCACAAAGAAACTGTAGTTTTGTTTTTCTTCACATTTTGTTGGCCATCTAAACATAGTGGAGAAAATATTACATCGGATGTTTCTCATTCTGAATTGGCAGTGATGGTGGAAGGCCAAGCGGTGCTGGCATCTTTGTTGGTGGCTTTGTTTTAGGAGGATTGATTGTTGGCACACTTGGCTGTGTGTTCGCACCCCAGGTAATTATGTGATTGCATTGGTTGTTGCCTTTTATTGTGCTAAAGATACTCGTGAATGTCACATCTTGTTGGTCACTCTATATATTTTCCTCTCTTTCTAAGTGCTGCACCTTAGTGGAGAAACAAGCTGATCGCAGGTTATTCTTCTTTACAGATCAGCAAGGCATTAGCTGGAGCTGATAAGAAGGACCTGATGAGAAAGTTGCCCAAGTTTATATATGACGAAGACAAAGCATTGGAGGTAAGCTGGTGTTGTGCATGTCTTTGATTAGATAGCTGTAATGAGGTATCAAATATAAGGAAGATGGATATCCTTATGTATCTGGAACCATATCTTCTGATTGAATATAATTTCCATGTGATTTTGAATTTTTAATCTCACTAATTGATGTGATTCTGGTTTTTCGAGTTTGTGTACCTTAATCCACATCTTACGCTTTAAGCTGAAATAATTCTGTTAAGCTGGCATTTGGGGTTCCCTTAAAAAAACTCCTACTTTACAAGCAATTGGACAGAGGATAAACCAAAGGGTAACAGCCTTTTCTTAAAATAAAAAAAAAATTCCACATTGTCTAACTTGTAGATACTGTTTGTCCGCAGAAACAACGTAAGAAACTTGCCGAAAAGATTGACCAGCTGAATTCGGCGATTGATGACATTTCCACTCAGTTGAGATCAGACGACACGCCAAATGGAGCTGCTGTGAACTCAGATGATGTTGAAGCTGTTGTATAAGAACAATTCTATCTTAATGTCAAAGTCAGCAGAGGACATTGAATACATTCTGGGAATATTCTTAGTTCAGTTTTAGTGTTTTATGGTATTTGCTACAATATAATATCCAGAGTGAGGAACAATATGCGATTATCGATTATTTTTCTGTTTCTGGTGGAAGTGGTGCTGCTTGAAGCTCTAATTTACATGCTTATAATCCTTTTCCTCACTGCCCCTGTATATTAGTTCCTGCATCTGTTAAATATTGGCTGATTCTAGCTTAGTGCATTACTCTTTACATTATTTTCATAGTTGTTTGACCAGAAAGTATAAAACCTTTTGTTAAACTAATTAGATGTGGGAAGATAACGGGCAAATCCTAGTTAAAGATAATAACTTCTAGATCTGAAATATTTTTATTTTTATGTGGATGTGGATAATGAGGGGTGCGTTAAAACATATTTAATGCAATGTACATTAAATAATATGAACATAAATGAGAGGAGAATAATGATATGCAATGAATATGTTGAATGGCACTAAATGTAAATAGAGAGAATGATTTACCCAATATTGAATGAGGTGGATGATTCTTCTGATGCGTGAAATGTGGAATAAACAACAAATCGAGTCTCTTTGGAAAGGTAATGTTTGTATTTTTCTTGAGAGTCAACTTTTCAAGAGAGTTCTTCTCATATAGAATATTATATCTCTTTATATTCTCCTAAATATCTTATTACAGAACTAGCCGTTATTTGCAGACTTGAACTTTCGACTTCGGCCCCGATTAGCAGCTCGCCGGTAAGTTCCTTTACTCTTGTGTACGACCTCGCCCTAATCGCCTCTTAATCATTTATCCTTGTGCTAGGTTACTTTAGTAAGATTTTGACCGATACAGTTAGTCCCTCCACCTGTCGAGGTTGTTTTTGGACGAGCTCTGTGGGCGGACTTCGCTAGTTGCAAATTGAGAAATTTGGGCGTAATGTCGAGTAGTAACGTTTTTATGGCGAGGTGATGACATGGCGCTTCGAGACACACATCCGACCGTTACGTCAGTTTGAAAATGACGTCATAATATCAAGCGTCATTATGGCGCATGTTCCCGATACGCTGCATCATTTCCCGCGCTCCTTTCGTTTCGAAATTAATGTGGCGGCGCTTTGCATCCTCGATTAGGGTGCCTGTATACTTATAAATAGGGATGGGAACCCCTCATTTGGATTGTTGCATTTCTAAGCGTTCGAATCTTCAAGTTTTCCCTTCTTCTCCTCAGAGCACTTGCATCCTTATTTCTCCCTTCTTTTAACATCTTCTGCCATTATCTCCTCTTTCGTATCTGCAATTCCTTCCCATATACGTGACAAAGGATGGCTAGTGCATCTTCTAACCTTGAGGGGACTTTTAATCCTATTCCATTGATGGTGATCATGCCTCCTCATGATGAAGGAGAAGCCATTGCTGCAGAAGACGAGAGTTTCCCCACTGTGGATGAAATAATTCCACGCTCAGAGAGGGCTAGGTCGGACTTCTCGAAGCGGCCTGAAGATGATCCTAAGCCTGTTGTTTCTAAGATGGATGCGGCGGCCCTTATTGAACTTAGGGCTAAATTCCAAATCCCAGACCATATCGACCTTATCCCGGCTGGTGACGATGTGGTACAAGTTCATCGCCCTAGATACTGCGCCTTCTACGCGTATCCATTCGTCGTTGGTTATTCGCTTCCTCTTCCTTCATTGGCGGAGGACTTTTGTCGCTATTATGTCGTCTGCCCAGACCAGCTCTCCCCATATATCTATAAACTTTTTCTCATGCTGATAAAGTACGCGGAGCTGGCCAACCGCGGGATCTCCCTCCGCCAACTGCTACGATGATACACCTCCACCACCACGGAACCAAAGGATTGGTGGTGAAGATGGAAGATAAGATAAATCGTCGATTTTGGGTTAATTTCTTCTACGTTAAGACGGAGCACATGGTGGCGAACCCAATCGGATTCCCCGAGGAGTGGAACTTCGCTCGTAAGTGTTTTTGCTAACTGGTTGTTTGTTATCTCCTTGGTGGCTTAATCGTTCTTCCATTTTTATGCAGCCGAGAAGGATCCTCCTACGTTGGTCGCCGACATCCGCGACTGGGTGAGCCAAATTCTACCGCACACGGTGGGGACCCGTGAATGGTCGCATTTTAATAAGAAGTTTGGACGTAAACCTTCTTCGACCGGTGAGTCAACTTGTTTCGATCTTAGTTGCTTCGCCCTTTATATACCATTTACTTTTTTACTTCATCTAGTCTTTCTTTGTTAATAGGTCGGAGGGCTCCGAGGAGGGCGAAGGCTCCTACTCCCGCTTTTCGTCAGTCGGGTGCCTCGAACAAATCTCTGCCTGTTGCGACAATAGGCGAGTCCGTGTAGATTGTTGTTTCTTCTCGGACCCCAGCCCCGCGTAGGCCTAGCCGTCGGGCGGCTGCCCCATCAGTGGAGACTTCGACTTCTCCAATTTTGCATTTAGTGGACGAGTCGTCTCAAGCGAGGAGGAAGCGATTCCGCTAAAAAGGCGTAGAATAGAGGTTGGGGTGAGGTAGTAGGGAATGAAGAGCCAGCGAGGAGCGATCCCGAGACGGCTGCGGTTGCACCCGAGGGTGGCATGGTTTTGGATGCATAGACTGCGTCCCCTTCAGATGTGGAGATTTCTCCTTTGTCAGAGGTCGCCGTGGAAGGAGGAGGGCGATCAGAGGCAACCGAGGTCGTTCCGGGGAGCGATCCGTCGATGTCAGAGCGGGCTGACATTTCCTTACTTTGCCGAGGAGAGGGAGAAAGGTGTGGCGGTAGATGACTATGAATCCAGCTCCGACGCCGACCCTGAAAAGGAAAGGATGTTTGATGAGGGGTTTACCCGGGTCGAGATGAGAACGGATGGATCTTCTCGTTCTATAGTCATCCCTTTGGACTGCGACCTGTTGACGGACACAGAGAGTGTGGTCCCCTCTTTGGTCTGGCACCGAGAACACGGCTCTACGGTCAATTAAGGATGTCAATCTGTTGTTAGGCATATCTGGAATGGCTCTGAGGGTGAGTTTGTGTTTTCCTTTTTGTTTTTGTACTTTGTGTCCTTTCTCCTTTCTATTTTTGCTGACTCTTTTCGGCTCTTCCTTTTTCCCTCAGACTCTCATTTTGGAGATCGAGAGTGCCCGCCGAGAGGAGAAGTGGAAGACTGTTTTCAAGAAAATGGTTTTAAAGTATTGCAAGTATCGTGACAAGTACCGTGAGATGCGTACCCGGTTCAGTGCAGACGGCAATTTCCAGTCCCTTAGAGATGAGTTGGGGCAGAAGGACGATGATCTCGTGAGGGTCATTGGCAGATGCAGCGAGCTCGAGGGGGCGCTTAGAGCCAAGGAGGACGAGCTCGAGGTAGGGAGGGGGTCGCGGCTGAGTGTGTTGACCTTCAGGCTCAGGTGGCGTCCCTGAGAGCCGAGCTTGAGCAGAGTTCGATCAGAGGTAACAGTTTAAGTAATGAGTTGATCGAGAAAGTGGCAGAGTTGGAGAGGGCCGGGGAGGCCAGGACTACAGCTTTGGCGAGGGTGGCGGCATTGGAGGAGGTCATCTGCGTCCTTAGATCTGAATGGGCGAGTGAAGCGGAAACGGCTGTGCTCAGGGAGGCACGGCTTGATGAGCGAATTGGTGGGCTCAAGAGAGAGGTTTCAAGCCTTGGTGATCAAGTCGCTGCTCTTGAGGCCGAGAAGGCGCAGCTGTTGGCCCAGCCGTCCTCTTCTCATACTTCTGCTTTTCCCGACGTTCCGCGACACTTATACGAGATGTGGATCCACGCCAAGGCTCAGCTGGACATTCTCAAGAATTTGATGACAGCGGGGAAGGTTCCTGAGGCCGATTTTGAAGATGCTCATGTCAAGGCGCGTGCGGCTAGGATTGCTTGTGGTTATGACCCAGCTACTCCGGGGGCCGGCGACGGCGAGGAGGAAGAAGGATTAGACGAGCTTGAGCAGGATGCCTGGTATGAAGATGAATATCCTCAAGGCAATAGCGGAGAGGGCGCTGCTGGGCGGGGCGGTGAAGACGATGGAGATGAAGGTGGGGACGACGTGGAGTAGTACTTTGTGCTTAGTTTTTGTCTTTTCTTTTTTTCTTTTTTTGTGTGGGCGTCTTTCTGGTCCTTTGTAAGATAATTTTTGGAATGGAATGATCATAACCCTTTGGTGTACGTTATTGGGTCTTTTATTTTTCTTCGAACGTTTTTCTTCAAATAGCTGCTTTAGAAGAATTGTGTCGGTATGTGCTATCTCGAACATGGTCGAGTATATCTTTGATTGAATCTGGGTGAAGTCCCATGTCGTCGTAATTAACTCAAACGAAGTTAACTTGTAAAATGAACTCAAGTCATGTTGAGTATGAGTTGAATTCGAGTGTGGTCGAATATAATTCTTTATTGATTCAAATGAGGTTGATGTGCGATAATTCGAGCGAGGTCGAATGTGAGTTGATTTGAGCGAGGTCGAATGTTAATTAATTCGAACGAAGTCAAAAGTGAGTCGGTTCGAGCGAGATCGAATGTTGACTCGTAGATTCAAATGAAATTGAATGTGAGTCGATTCGAGCGAGGCCGAATGTTGACTCTTAGTTGATTCGAACGAGGTCGAATGTGAGTCGATTCGAGCGAGGTCGAATGTTGACTCTTAGTTGATTCGAACGAGGTCGAATGTGAGTCGATTCGAGTGAGGTCGAATGTTTACTCTTAGTTGATTCGAATGAGGTCGAATGTGAGTCAATTCGAACGAGGTCGAATGTTGACTCCTAGTTGATTCGAACGAGGTCGAATGTTGAGCCGATTCGAGCAAGGTCGAATGTTGACTCTTAGTTGATTCGAACGAGGTCGAATGTGAGTCAATTCGAGTGAGGTCGAATGTTGACTCTTAGTTGATTTGAATGAGGTCGAATGTGAGTCAATGAGGTCAAATGTTGACTCTTAGTTGATTCAAACGAGGTCGAATGTGAGTTGATTTGAGTGAGTTCGAATGTTAATTAATTCAAACGAAGTCAAATGTGAGTCGGTTCGAGCGGGGTCAAATATTGACTCTTAGTTGATTCGAACGAGGTCGAATATGAGTCGATTCGGGCAAGGTCGAATGTTGACTCTTAGTTGATTCGAACGAGGTCGAATGTGAGTCGATTCGAGCGAGGTCGCATGTTGACTCTTAGTTGATTCGAACGAGGTCGAATGT